TCCAGACACCCGGCGTTCATCGCACATGACCGTTGAACAAAAATCCAAATCTGTACTTTCAGTCCAATATTGTACACAATATCAGTATAATATTATATATTGTTCTACTTGCCACACAATTTTCCAGAACGAGGACCCGAAAAACAACGATATTACGGCAATTACGGCATACGCACACAGAGAGAACTAGAGGAAGCGGGAACGGGAAGGCCGGGAAGACGCGTAGTCGCCGCGAGTCGCGACCGCGACCGCTGCGTCTGCGTCGTCACGTCCGTGTCGGTAGTCGGTACGTGTGCACCGACTGCACGCAGAGCCCAGAAGTTCGGCTAGCTTCGACAAGCAACGGCGAAGATCGGGTGGCGGGGGTGCGCGCGCGGCGTATCCCCACCACTCACCGCCCGATTTTCGGGATTTTCGGTAGCCGCGTCCTGTGGCATCACTGCGTCGCGCAGCGCCGGAGCGGAGCTTGAGCTCGGAAAGCGAACTAGAGAGAAACCTTCTCTGGGAAACTTTGAAATACCCGCGAGCGGCGAGCGACTTCACACCGTTATCGTTATGGCCGTTATCTCCGAAGCATTGAATAAAGCGTAATTGTTCCAAGCTCCACACACTTATGTTCTAAATATTAGTAGCAGAAAGAGAAACCTGAGAGTGAATATGCGGTCACGTTCGACGTGGAATCGGTGTGGAGAATCCGTCCACTGGCGCCTCTATGTGCACAAAACGTACGCGTTGAGTTACATAACCACGGATATTCCCAGGGTAACACACATTATATCCAAGATTCTGTTCCATGTTACGCAAATGATTATTGTTTTGTTTTATTCCGCGTTACGTTCACAAAGTGTAATTGCGTAACAAAGCATGATAAAAAGTATTAATTAAAAATTGGAATAATTATAAGCCTAAAAAGACATTTAAAAAAGCGTCAAATGCGTCGTTCATTTTAATATAAATATAACGTTCTTTATTTAACAAATTTTGTCTTATTATACGCATGTGCATAAAAATAAAGTTATAAAATGTGAGCACGATTTCTTTCTCCAGCGGCGCCTGATGTTCTTCGGAGCAATGCAGCAGTCGGCGAGTGGACAGTGGCGACATATGGGCATATCACTTCCGGTGAGTCGATTTATATATTTGTTTGTTATATTTACATTGTCGTTTAAAATGGAGTTTCAATTATTCGCGAATGTTAAATCGAATGGTCGGAGACCGTGCAAACGCGCGACAATTCCGTCGAGTGAGCTTCGTGCGACCATAGCACGACTCTGTTACATCGAAAAACATGCAAAAAATATCAAGCTTTATGAAATATTAAGAAAAAATTAAGAAAGAAATAAACGTTTGTTAAAGACGAATATAGCAAGACTGCACGATAAAAATATAGATAAATAAAAGTGTAATCTCTATTTACCTCTTGTATATATTTCTTCACACTTTATTTTCTCTTTTTCTCGAGCGGGTTACACACATATTTCATTTTAAATAGTGCACGTATGGCGCAAAGAAATTTAATGAGTTGCGAACTTTATTGTTTTTTTTTTAGAAAGGAACGATATCGTAATTAGTGAAATTTAATCCGGGTTAAGGTTTAATAATAACCAGCAATTATTTATTATTTATTAAAGAGCCTCTCACGTGATATCTATAAACCTTGGCGGTCGCATTCAAATTTGTATATAAGCGTGAGAAAAACGATCCTCAGTCATAATTATTTCTATCTTCCTTGACGTTTAATAATTCCGGCGCCACGACCTTTAGAACGGCGTTCACGTTCTCGCAGCAATTACAGCAGACAATTGTTTGTCCACGTACTGAAAGGTCCTTCCCCAGAAGCTTGACATTCTGCAAGATCGATTTCATGTTAATTAAAACGCGACTCGGGAGCGCACAAGTTCTCCGTACAAATAAAATACGCGCGATCGCGAGAATATAATATTATACAAAATTATAACTGAATTCGCTCGGCAGAAAATATGATACGTGGATCGACGAGCGCGATTCTTCAAAAATTTAACATTGTATCCATTCTTAAAATTCCCCTTAAACATACATTACTTCTTTATAAGTTAACGGTGGGAAATTCTGTTTGTAATATTCACACAGTGTACTGTATTACAATACCCTGCGTAGTTATAAGAAATTAGAGAACGATGATAACAGCGCAGCACGTTGGCACGTGCGGCGTGCTGTTTGCTGAATAAACCTCGCGACACTGCATCAGATCGACCTACGTGTACTCATACAGCTACATGTTTATACAAATGATTGTACGAACAAGTAGATTATTCGCCAGTAAAATGATCAATTTTCTTATCAAATTATTTAATATCAAATGTATATATGAAATCTTCATGTGATCTCTTTAAGATGACTTTATAAATCCTTAATTTATTTCTGTAACGGTGAAAAATTGATCTACGTGTGATTTAATATTTTACAGTACCTATTACATTTTTATGAGAAAAAAAACTGTTTGTTAAATAAAAATCTCAGAAAACCAATTTAATTTTTTAGGAAGCTCTTGACAACATCAGAATTAACTTGAAAAAATCTTATTTACATTTTAATAATCGTAGCAATACATATATGATTGCTAATAATGCATCGTTCTCTAATATAATTCTAATCGAATCATTTATTTAATGCGAAATCTTCTTAACATGTAGCTGTAGAGTTACGCTAAAAGCAAGAGAATTAATTTTAATCGTTCTATTCCAATCGATAAAGAAATGCAAGTCATTGATACCATTCGGTTATTATATCGTTGCTTTCGTGCTCGCGTTTTTTTTTTCGAGTCTATCTAAAGAAGCATTTTATGTAATTTTTTACGCCGAACTTGATTGCTTACCTTAGCAACCGTAACGTCGAGCCTTTTCAGATTCTTACAATCGAGCATCACGTTACATTCACTTTCTCCGGAAAGCTTCATTATGTTAGCACGCAGGCGCTCCGCTGCTGGAAAGGCTATAGCTTCTTCGGGTATGACGACTATTACAGTTTCCCCTTCGATCTGCATTCGAGACAAAGAAAACAAAATACCGTTTGTTCATACTGGTGGCTAGTCACTGTGTAATAGGAAAATATTCCAGACGGATATATTTCCATTGAAAAAACACGTACATTCAGCAGCGATATTTTTAAACTGGCTGTCTGCCAGTTTAAAAAGATCTGTTATTTAAGTACATAAAAATCTGTTTCGCTATTGGTGTAGGTACTAGGAATTTGAAAAAGTACGCTAAAGTAGTTTACTCGGTAGAATACACAACACACTATATAAAAAAAATACTTGAGAGCAGAATTTTTACGACATTTTTAAAAGAAAGATTTATTACCCCAGCAAGGCCGAAAAGGGAAAAGAATCGAGAAGTGTATCGATTTCACCAGTTCGCGTAGTAGATTAATCTGGCAAAGAATGATAGGTCTCGATTACGTTTGAACGATAACAGCATGATTAAATTTAATTAAACTGAAAATATAGCGTCGGCGATTTAAGATGACAGCATTATTTATACGTTGCAATAATCTCTGTTGAATATATTTCTTTTTTTTGTACTGATTATGTCAAATATTGTAATAACGGCATTTTAGACATTATTGTGAACCGAATGTATAATACTACCCTTCGAATACATTAGAACACAGAAAATATTTTTTTTTTCAGAATTACTCAATAGAGTTACATTTTTTTCATATAATAAGATAAAATTTTGATAAGGTTGCTTGCTGATAAAAAGACTCGGCAAATAATGCATAAACTGAAAGATGATAATTTCAAATTAGTCACTATAAATTAGTAATATTAAATTATTTGATAGCGAAGGATCTATGAAATAATTTTGTATCACTGTACCTGTTCAATTTTCGTCTGAACGGAAGGCCGCGCTGTGAAATACAGCAATGCCGCTAGATTAACTACGATACCAATTAAGATACCGTATTCCAAGCCAAGAAAAACGCTTGGGACCAATGTCAGCATCATCACAAAGAAATCGGTCTCTAAAAAAATTTGCAGACACCTTTATATTACTATAATCTTTCAAAATAAAATTAAACGACTTTTGCATCTATGTATTTATTAATCACATTTATATTATCTATATTTAATTTAATTGTTTTTTATTCTTTTATAAGAACGATATAAGAACGTCTTCTTTGAGACTAATAAATTCCGTAGTTACAAGGCTTCAATTTTAATTAATAACAAATTTAATCTTTTAAAATATCCTAATTCAATACGCGAAATTACCTACTGGTTCTACCCACGCAGGAATGACGTCGATCGCATTCGCAAACGGGCGCGTAGGTACCGATATCGCCGGATCTATTACGAATTAGCTGCAGATGAGCTCGAGATGAAGCCCGCGACAAAAGTTAACGGGAACGGGTGGCACTGCTCCGTCTTAACAATAAATGCCACCAAGGGCGCGCTCGAGCATTATTGTTTCACGCGGGCTTTTCGAGAACAAATGCACCGCGAATGCATCCCGAGTGTGGGTGGTGCTCTCGCTGACGGCAGCTCCTTTTGTGCGGCGTGCACCATTGACGCTTGACGCGATGACGCCACGCTGGTTAGATCGCGTATAGGTGAATCGAAACAAGAGAGAAAAAAAGAAAGAAAAAAGAAAGAAGGAGAGATTTGTGGAACTTACTTCTGGCGTTCCACAGCAAACTGTACGTCGAGAAATCGAGCATGTAATACATGGCGCATATGATGAGACCGGCCAGCGTCGCCTTCGGTATGAAGTAAAAAGTAGAGGTCAAGAGACCGACCGCGAGCAATACCAAACAACCTGAAAAGATTACGTCATTAATTAATAAACGCTCTGAAAAAAAAGATGTCTTCGCGCTTCGCTGAAAAATTAAACTATTTCTGCTCTCCAATCTCCCGAAAGACCGACCAAACATATTTGACTTTTCATTTAATAGTGGTTTTACGATAAGACAGTAAATTTAACATTTAAATAGTCAGAAAATGTTAATTTTTATCAAAAAATTTAATTATTTTATTAGATATTATATAGACATTTTCAAATACGTTTACGTAACCAAGTTGATTAGGATTTTATAATTACATCGAATCCGAAAGTGTGATAAAATTTTTAACGTACCTGTAAATATTCCCCCCAGTGGTGTTTTAACGCCCGACGCATGATTGACCGCCGTTCGCGTGAAAGATCCTGTAACTGGCATCGAGCGAACGAACGACCCGAAAATATTACAGATTCCTAAAGCGATCATTTCCTGCGTGGCGTCCAAAGATTTACCTTTTGCTAAAACAATTAATCTATTATCCTCCTCGAGCAGGCAGACTTTAATTAGTTCTCGGAAATAACAATGCATAAAATCGGAGCCAGAGTATCCAGACC